ACTGTCTAAAGAAGCTGAGCAATCTGGCACCTCGTAAAAAGATAACCCATGCCTTCCCCTGAGTTCAAAGACATTCCAGAGGAGTAAGGAACTAGATAACACTTTTAAAATCCATTTTTCCCCTATGCCTTATATCTTGGAATATGAGAGACTTACATAAAAACCAGGCCTATCTTTAGATGGCCCATGATTAGACAAATCGTTTGATAGGTCACACTCCCTGACTGGAATACCTAGGAAAGCAGAAACTTACATCTCTTGAACTCTTCAAAGATGTATTTCATATTTCATATGTACCCGTTCCTCAGATGCGTCTGCATACTAATCTACCCGTGGGTGGAATGGTACTTGTGCCTAGGAAAAGTTATGAGCCAAAATATGAGTTAGGAGAGATTTTGGTTCTAGTTTGGGTCTCCACCCAGACAATCCCTCCCTAAATGAGGCACTGATCCTTGGCTTCAGAGACACCCCCTGCTGGGGGACTACAAAATGGGCTGTCAGTCCTAAGAAAAGCTAAGTTGAAGAATTCTCCCTTTTAACATCAGAACCACCTTGGGAGACCGTGCCCTTTCGCTCTGAAACTTGATCTGCAAACCCAAGGCTGATTGGCAAGTACTTTAACCCTTTAACCTCCTTTCTGTTACCTCTTTGCTGTGCTATTGTTCTCTGTATATTTATATATATATATATATATATTGGTTACATCTTTTTTTCTGTAAATATTTTTATTGCACCCTTTTGACCTTTTAGTAATAAATCTCTCTTTCTGAAAGTGTTGAACTGTTACTATAGCTCGTTAATGCAACTTACAAATTCCTGCCTTTAAAAGAGCGCTACTGTGTTTGTTTAACCCTCTTTATAACCTGTCTGTGGTGACAGTGCAATATAGATGATTTTCTCAACCATCATAGTATTATTGCTGATATTGCCGAGTTTCCTCTTTCTCTGTACAAAAAGGAGGTGGTGGCAGTGTGAAGGGTTAATTGCGTAATTAACCTGACCCAGTAACAATCGCATTCAGGCTGCCGGTACATTGATTGGTGGTCCATTAGCTGGAAAATCGCTGTGCAGGGTGCAGCTGGGTGTGGCATTGTTACGCACGTGACATCGCGGTTTCAGATTGGCTAGTCCTTCGGTCACGAGTTTGGTGAGAAGGTTAGGGGTCTGATGCCACGATTGTCACAACTAGGACTTTAGACACATTTAGTTCTTTTTGGCTCCTCTTTATTCATTGGAGCAGTTGTTGATTGCTTTTGGCTGTTCTGGATCTTGCATGCCTCAGTTTTGATTGCTCCCACCTACTTTCCAAAGGCTTCTAGAACATAGAGGGCTGAATAAGGCAAACAGGCAACCTGAATATGTAGTGTGTGTCAGCCAATCCCTGGGGAGGTGTGCCCAGTAGGTGACTGGAGAGGAACATCTTGCTCTTCTCCCTTGTTGAAGCTAATCAAGGAAACCCTCACACTAGGACTAGGTCATTGGTCTGATAAGCTTGCTGAAGAGTGCCCAGTGGAAGTTAGAAGGGGTCTAGCTGTCCTGTGGCATTGTGAGTGTGTATCACTACCTCACTGAAGAGTATCCAGTGAAAACTACAAGGAGATATCTGGTGATCCTGTGACATTATAAGTATTGACCTGAGCTCAGGGTTCTGGTGACTGTGTGCTGTATCCCTTGAGTGGACAACCCCAAAGTATTCCTGCCTGTGGTAGCTTCTAAAAAGGGTGCTCAGTCTCTGTCATCTATGTTTGTTCCGGCATATCGACTTATCAAGGTGAAGTGTCCACATCCAGGTTGTTCACCAATAAATAAATAAAAACATCGTCCCTAGACTGATTATTGAGCCAGAATGAGTGACAAGTGATAGAAGGTGGCAATGAAAGTCATTTTCTTTGTAAATGCCACTTTTGCTGTAGCACATCCTACCAGCATTTGGTAAGGGATTACCTCATGCAATAAATAAACACATAAATAAATAGCTTGAGGCCCCCCAGGAAATCCATGCCAGACCAGGTAGGCCAGGGTTGTGGGGGAAAGGCCCTTGTCCTCATCTATATGAGGGGGCTTATCAGAATCTGGTATAACGGGGGTCCCCAGATACCACCCTCACTATGTGAATGAATATGGGGTACATAGTACTCCTAATCATTCACAATAAAAAAATGTAACCTAGAAATAAAGATACCCAAGTATTTGACAAATCCTTTATTAAAAAAGGACCCACAGATTGGCACACATGACCGATCTCAACAGTGCCACCGAATTACAGCTTCCTGAGCTGTCATCAGCTATATACGGGAAGGGGTGGAGATCGTGGTGATATTAATGCTCAAATATGGCCACTGCTATTCCCACCCTTTTGCTTAGGTGGCCAGGGAATGCCTATGTGAATTGCCATGCTGTCAGCAGTTACAAAGGACATAGCAAGTGCAAGTATGGGCTTATTTCTTAAAGTGGATGTAAACCACAGGCTGTGTGCTGGACCTCCCCTCCCCCACCCCACCCCCTTGATCCCCTGATGTTGGCACACCCTGTAAGAAATGACTCTATCTATCTAATGTAGATAGCAGAGAAAGGAGACTGCAGATAGAAATCACACTTTGTGCTTTGGATTGAGGCAAGGACACACTACAGAAGGACATACTTTGTTCATTTTTCATATCAGAGGTTTACAACCACTTTAATAACATGTGGTAGCGGGAAACTGCCATATAAATAAGCAGTAGAAATATTGCTATATTATGATGCTCACTCAGCTCCTGTAAAGGATGGTGAATGGGCAAAAGGTTCAGACTGAAACATCAGCTGGTCTATGGTATCCATATGTGGGGACAGCTGCCGTTCATTTAATTAAGGCCTTAATTTCTTTCCTCCAGCAGCCAACACCTTCTTTCATGGGTTCCTCCCAAAGGGGAGAGTTCTGCATTATTCCATTCAAGAGGTGAAACTTCTCCTCGCAGGGCAAAGTCCCAGGGGGGAGGAGGTAGTACAGGAAGTGCCTCAGATATTAAATAGTTCTCCCAGCAGGTTCCCCAAGCCCACTGATTGACTAGGCTATCAGACATCTGTAACAAAAGACCATATCTCTCTAGAACACCCTGCTGGGTCAAACTCAAGCAACAAGTGGGTTAGAAAATACACTGTATTTTTAAAGAATTACTCCTGTTAAGATACAGCTAGGTTGACTACAGCTCACTGATGACTACAGTATTTACAAAAAAAAAAAGAAAAAAAGAAAAGAATTAGCAAAATCTGTTTATTTCTCTGACTGCTCATAGAGCAGAGTGGGCTGTGTCTGTGCCCACTCTGGATAAGCTGAGTGGACATAGATCTTTCATCCAGCCGCTCCGCTAAGCTCCAAAGGGAATCAGTGGACAGATCCCCTGCTGAGAAAAACCAGATGTGGCCCACGTGAAAGGGGCTTTACTGTAGTACTTTTTTCTGCATTTTTCTTCCCTTGTTTTTACCCCTTTTATTACTTTGTATTTATAAATTGTCCATACCCCATGGGCATTGTTTTTGATAAATCTCAATCAAAATGTAATGTCGGCAAAAAAATTATGCATACAAACCCAATCACAAATTCAGTACAATTTTTCCCTCACAAAGGTTCACCTTATTTACTAACATATACTTCTTTTCACTTCTCATTGGGGTTTGCAAGAATTAAAAAGCATACTTGAAAAATTTTTCTCCTTAGAATTCCTGTTTTCACCCAGTCCTTACAGGAGAACACCAGTTGACCCCAAATTCAGTTTGTCATAACCTGTTGATCTAGGAAAACATTTTTCTCATGTGTCTGTTATATGGCAGGGCTATTCCCAAACACACCCACTACAAGTTCCTTGTTCTATTTCTAAAAATTTATATAGCAAAAAATGTCTGTACAAAAATTGTTTTTACAGCCACTTGGCAAGTTCAAATCTGCCTGGGAAGTTTGATCCTCAATAGTATAACTTGAGAAACAGAGAAAGAGGAAGTTACAACCTTCCTAATCTGTGTTTTGTTATTGATTCTGTTGATTGGTAAATGGATGTTGCTCTCTATTTTTCTTCTGCTCACATAACAGGAATTTAAAGTGGTAATAACCCCCCCCCCCCCCCCCGGAAAAAAAAAAATTGCAGCTTACCATTTTTTAGATGTTTTTCTTTCTTTTTTTTACCTGATGATCCAGCTAGTAAGTCTGTTATTATTCAACTTACATTACCAGACCAAGCTGTCCATACAAAATGGCAGTTAAAGGGTTGGGATAAACTATTTAACACTGACAGGGATGCTTATAATGATCAGCTTTTATTCATTTATGTAAAACGTTTGCTGTAACTGCTTAACAAGGATAACGTTACCTTTCGTAACATGTTACGTGTTATACCCATATTCAGGATGTAACATGTAACATGTTACAATTGGATTGGCCTCCACGTCCCCTGGATCCCCATTGTGATAGCTAGTGTGGGATCTTCTCCCTGCTAGCTGTCACAATTTTAAAAAACACAGCCGGCTGCGTCATTCATTCACAGTATTCTGTGAACAGGAAAACTACAAGTTCCAACAGACTTTGCAGTTGTCGGCTTGTAGTTTTCAATGAACTACTATGGCGTTCCACAATGCCATGGTAGTTCATCGAGCCTTCCTATCAGTAAGTAACTGCTTGCCCATACGGGATGTAGGCGCAAGCAGATATACTGACAGGTCAGGGGGAGACCTGCATGGCACCAGCAATCTGCTGATCGCTGCTGCAATGTGTTAGAGCCTCCACAAACAAAAAACAATAATAAATGCACATTTTTTTATCTGCAAACAAATGTGCATTTATTATTTTTTGTTAAAAAGTGACTTTTATCCTTTAACCACTTCCCGTCCTGCCCATGTATATAAACGGTTGGACGGGAGCAGTGCATGAGCAGGTGGCCATTTATAAATGTCCTCCCGCTTCCCTGCCTGTGCGTGCTCCCTGGGATCACCGATCGCTGTACGGGACCTCTGTGTGAGGTCCCGATCATGTGATCACTAACTGGCCAATCAGTGATCACATGAATAGTCAGGGGCGGACTGACAACTCATGGGTCCCCAGGCAATAGGGGATCATGGGGCCCCTGTGTCCTTGCCCAAACTCAAAAAAGCCTATGAAAAAGGTACCAGGGGCATCTCATGGGGCCCCCTACTGACCCAAGCCCTTGGACAGTGCCCGAGTTTCCAAATGGTCAGTCCGCGCCTGTGAATAGTAGTAAGCAAGATGTCACTTCTGACATGTCACTTCTACGTGTGCTTACTACGTGTGAATGATCACAGAGGTCACATGGTACAAGGCTATTCACAACAGCCTTGTACCATGTGACAAGCTGTGACAAATCACAGATAGCACAGTATTTTTCAATGGCTGCAAGAATGCAGCAGGAGAGAAGAAGAAATCATTACTTTTACAGCCTTTATGGGTGTAAAGCAATTAGTGTAAAAAAAAAAAAAAAAAAAATCTTCATCACCCCCCACAAGTAGTACAGTGACACTGTACTGCTAGGGTGACAGTATGTTAAAAAAAAATTGTAAAAAAAATTTGTAATCGTAATTGTAATTTTTGGTTATAAACTAATTTGGGTTTTTTTTTACTAAAAAGATAGCTTAATACATTTTGTTTTGGCCAAGATTTCTGAAGAAATATTATTACTTTGCAAATTTTTATAAGAAAAACACTTTTTTTTTTCAAAATGTTTAGAGCTTTTCATTATATTCCAAAAAAATAAAAATCCCAGTGGTGAACAAATACCATCAAAATAAAGCTTTATCTGTCTCAAAAGAATGCTAAAAAATTCATATGGGTACAGTGTTGCATGACTGTGCAATTGTCATTCAAAGTGTGATAGCACTGAAAGCTGAAAATTGGCCTGGGCAGAAAGGGGGTGAAAGAGCCCGGACTTGAAGTGTTTAACTGGAGTTTGGCTTCAATGTGTTATTCAACTCTATTTAAATCTGCTAGTAGAACACTACCCTCTCCCCAAACTAACAATACCCCCCCCAAATTAACAATTCAAAATACAGGAAATGTGTTATTGGTAGGATCACTACATGAAATAAAGGAAACAATCCTAAAAAAGAAAACCAGTGCAGCCCCCCATTGGTTATGTTATGATGCAATATATTACATTTCTCTGTTGGGGTTTAATACCAGTTTAAGGTGAGTAACCAGGGCTTTTAAGCAGTTTTTTTTGCAATAAAACTATAGATTAATGGTGGGGTGGAAATGGTATTTTTTTCCTAGAGGTCAGCTTTATTGCTATCCTCTCTTTTGTGTGAGTAAAACTAAGTGCTAATTCTCTACAATAATACCTAGGTGATATATTCTCAGCTCTTGTTACACACATTTTTACCCATGCCACAAATCTAGAACAAATCATAAATAATGCTTAAAGGGAAGTTGGCATTGTTATTTGGGAACACATTTTTTTGGTTGAAATTTTAGGAAGTAATGCATCAAAAATCATTGCATTGACTTTTTTTTCTCAAGCTAAAGTGGTACAAGGAAATTGAAAAGTCTATTGTTCCTGAGTCTGCTATCTGTACACATTTTTGATGTACTTGGCAGGAAATCTGTTTGCTAGCTTTGTGCCAAAAAAATTCTTGCAACTGCTTCAAAATTGTCTGCCAGCTTTAATCTGGCATATCATCTGACCTACCGTAATAAGTGCTATACATCAAGAAGAACCTCTTTAAGTAATACCGATGCTTTATTAAAAAAAAAAAAAACGATTGGCAGGGCAGCTGCAGAAGGGAAAAAGCTCAAATGCAAAACAGCAGCATGTTCCTCGTGTTTAGCATCACCCGCACTAGCTGAGTACATGCATATAAGCACAAGCCTGTTTTGTGGTTCTGATCAATGTAACAGCTATGTGATATTGTGTAATAAGTGTAACTCCAATTTACACTCTGCACATTGTATGCTAATATAGCCAACACTTTCTTCTTTCTATACTTTGACAGAGTAAACTTACATAATTAGCATTTTGCAAGTTTTCTTTTTGTTACTTTGTTAAAAAGCAATATAGTTCAACTTGAGAACTCTGGAAAGCAACAGAAGTAAATAGAACTAATGTTACATAAATCGATTTTCTAGGTGTTTTGGCATCAATACACTTGTGTTGCCTGACTGCAGTCTGAGCAGTAGCAATACGGATTAGATGACAATAGGAAAATGTCTGAATATCAAACTATGCACTCATGGTTATTTAAATGCAAAAGAAAATAATACCCAACCTAAGTGTATATTGCTCACTAAAATCACACAAAGGCATGAGCTTATTTTTACCTTTAAGTGATACTAAAGTGTAGAAAAAGTATGTTATACCTACCTACTCTGCAATGATACTGCACAGAAGTATTCTTTAAAGTATTACTAAATCCACAACAGTAAAATCAGTCTGTATATGTGTAACGGAACTGACCCAGACTGCGCTTGAGTACTTCCATTAGAATACCGCTTCCCTGTCCGAACACTGACAACAGACACCACAGCCGACCATACAAGACTAGACAACACCAGTCTTGAAGTAAACCAGGAGGTAGACTACTTTATTTGAACACAGATACAAGATATATACGCTCAGGGGGCAATACCCACTCCCTGCATAATGACACAGGGCGGGGCAATCTATAGTAACAAGAGACACATACTGTAGGTATTCAAACTTCACACCAGCAGACAGTCATATCAGGAGGGAGGGCTGCTGGAGACCCCCCCCCCCGCCCCCACTAAGCTGATACACATAAACACATACATCCCATAGTAGTTTGCTCCCAAACCAGACAGACAATAGAACAATGGGATGCAGCCACATGACATTAAACAATCAACAACCCCCACCCCAATATTAGGACAGATCACCCCTAACAGGCACAGGGTGATTTACACATAAGAGGGATATGGGGAGCTGAGACAGTGGTCTCCCCACCTCTCCAAAATGAGCTTGGTTCCATGGGCCCCCCACCCAAAGTGACTCCCGTCACAATATGCACAAAAGCATGCTTGTTACACTCACTGTGGAACCTAAGGGGTTAATCCTCTGCATTGTGTAAATAGGCTGTTTGATCCTTTCTTCTCTGCCCCTTCTCTTGTTGAAATGACTACCTGAAACAGACTGAATCTGTAGTCACGTGCACATGCTCAGTTTGGTGTGTATTGCTTCAAAGGTTTTTTTTTTTTCTTGGAAAAGTGCATGTGATCAGCACAGGGCCAATTAGCCAATTAGTCACTAGACTGCTCTAACTGCTGGGTTCAAGTGCCACCGAGCTGGGCTCTGTGCATCCATAGACATACACAGTGCCACTAAGCCACATCTCCACTTCCTCCTCATGGGAGTTTGACTGACAGCAGCCCAGACCAGGAAAAGAGATAAGAAGTTCTACAGCTGAGACAGCACTGTAGCCATGACAGGAGCCGGGTAAGTGTTTAGAAATGGAGTGGGTAGAAAAGGCATTTCTTACCATAATACAGAGAGTGCACTAAGGTGAAAACATTTTGACTTCAGAACCACTTTAACCATTTTCCTCCTGTGCTGTAGCTGATAGATGGCTACAACATGGGTCTCCAGTTCTCAGGGGACATCCCTGGACATTTTCCCATGTTCACGGCTCCTGTATGCCCCCTGGGATGCGCATTGGTCGGGCTCTGTGAATGCAGTGTTCTTTGGACACAGCTAATCACAGATCTGGGTAGAGGGCCAATCACAGCAGCCCTTTATCTTGTAATCAGCTGTGTCCAATCCCAGTTGTCACAATATAAACAGCAGTTTGCCAGCTATCAGCTATTATCATCTCTCCTTTCCCCACACAGAGACAGCATGTGAGGAAAGGAGAGCCAAACTGTGAGGGCACAGTGACTCTAGCATTTACACTGATAATCAATGCCAGTCAGTGCAGCCCCATCAGTGCCCATCAGTGGGAGTTATCAGTGCCCATCAGTGCAGTTTATCAGCCCCCATTAGTGTCACCTTTCAGTGCCCATCAGTGCCACCTATCAGTGCTGCCTGATTACTGCAGCCTCTTCGGTGCCTCCTCATCAGTCCCCATCAGTGCAGCTTGTCAGTGCCTATCAGTGCAGCTTCATCAGTGCCCATCAGTGCAGCCTCACCACTGCCCATCAGTGAAGAGGAAAAATTACCTATTTGCAAAATTTTAAACAAAAGCTAAGAAAACCTTTTTTCAACATTTTCAGTCTTTTTTTTTGTTTATTTAGCAAAAAAATAAAAAACCCCTGTAGTGATTAAATACCATCAAACAAATTATGCAAATTTACTTTGCGTACAGTGTTGCATGACTGAGTAACTGTCATTCAAAATGTGACAGTGTTGAAAACTGAAAATTGTCCTGGGCAGGAAGTGGGAGAAAGTGTCCAGTATTGAAGTGGTTAAAGTGTATTTACACTTTTGCAGCTAAATTGGGTCTACCCCAGAACGCAGTGTGGGAAAGGTTTGTTCCATACATGATTTTGATGGCACACCCCTTCTGAAGACTAGTGTACGAAATACGTCTTGGAGGAGCCTGCAAGCTTTGACGTCACGCAGCCGGGTCACGAAGATCCGGCAGCCTCATTTGATCACCAGTTGGTTAGTGCTCATAACAACTTGTTGCTGCAATATTCCTGCCTAAAGGCTTTGATACAGCCTTTGGCATATGTTCAGCATTTACATGTATGAGGATATATTTTTTTGCTGCTGCATAACAACCTTCATTAAATTTTTCTGACATTAATACACTATGGGTATTTCCATCTGTCGCTCTGCATTGAGCATTTAATCCCCCAGAGCTCCCCCTGGTGACTATTCCACTGTACTGAAGAGGCTGCACCCATGTCCTTAAAGTGGACCTCCGGTTTGAGAGCATCTATCAAGATGATGTCCATCCATCCTGGGCTGGCTCTATTCGTATCCTGAAAGGGACCCCCTGGCAGACCTCCGTTTTGTTGATATATTGCGCATTTTCTTTGCACGTCCGGTGAGTGCGCATTTTAAACATACCCTGCCCCTCACTGAGTCTTAAACTACGACCGTGGGAATAAATATATCACCTTTTGAGC